GGAATCAAACCATTTTTGGACGTTATTTCTCATTTTTGTTAAAAATGAAAGCCACTTCCGGTCAAACATGACGGAAGACCTACTCGTTGCTTTGCAACGAGCTTTGCTCTAGTATTTTTATTATATTCTGCAGAGAGATAGAATATAGTTAATTAGAGAATACTTAAATATATTTGGGTCATGCAATTAAAAGTAAAGGCAAAAGGTCAAGGTTATTAATTATTGCTTTTCTAGTGTAAAATAAAATGGGGAGGTTTATCATTTGTTTATTTTTTATTCACACTGTTAACTGACTTGATCTTATCAAAGTATAACAATAATACTTCGAGATAAATGTTAATGAAATCTTAACACCAACATTGTTAATGGAACGTTAATTAATACATGCTGTTTAATTGCCAGATGCTGTTGAGTGGAGGAGTGGATTCTACAGTGTGTGCTGCTCTCCTTCACAAAGCTCTGAGTAAGGAGCAGGTTATAGCAGTCCACATAGATAATGGCTTCATGAGGAAAAATGAGAGTCAGAGTGTGGCCCAGTCCCTCAGCAAGCTAGGACTCAATGTCAAAGGTAATACTGTAGATCACTAAATTTTCGCAACACCTTATTTTCACAGGATATTAATTGATTCTTGATAAGTGAGACAAAATTTTCACCCATTGTGGTTATTGCTCTGTATAATCCTAAGGAATACTATTATACACGATATTACACACGAGAATTGAATTTTTGCGAGAACTTGTGCGAAATAAAGTTCTCATGAATAAAAAGTGATTTACAGTAGCTGTATGTCAAAAAGGAACATTGTACCATTAGTAGTGCTGGGTATTGCGACGGAAAAATCGTATCGCGATATATTGCAATATTATATTTTGTATTGCAATATATCACGATATAAATATTTAATAAATTTTTGCTTTTCATCAAGGTTAAATGAAAACACAAACTCAAATTACATGTATTCCCGAGTTGTTTTTCCAATTGCCTGATCGCATTGTGTCGGTGCAAGTGCCAATATAAGTTTTTTTGTGGCACAACTTGTTGAATTCAATTAAGTTGTAATACTCAGATTCAGCTTTAACATGAAGGGGTTTCAATTAACAGTTGTCGTCGTTTCGTTTTTGAAAGAGACATGTCTCTGGTTTCTGATCACACTTCACATCGCTTGCGCCATATTTTACCTTGAAAAGGGCAAATAACTCTTTTTGTAACAATTAATAGCATATCGAACCTGAACCGGTATTCACAAAAAAAATACCACGATACGTATTGTGAAGAACGAAATCGGGATACACCGGTTAACCGGTAATATCGCACAGCACTAACCATTAGCTCAGCAAATATATGTCAGTAGCAAGTTAAGGTGAACATTTGTTGATAAAAGTAGATAAGGAAATTTTGAATATTGACAATAATGCTCCGAAAGTAATAATTTTTGGTAAATTAAAAGAGCAAAAAAAAGTTTTTGAATTCAGGACAACACTATGTGTAAGGTTATATACTCAATTAAATGAAGCTCAAAATAATTAGATATTTATAGTCAACAAATGTTTTCTTTCAAATTTTTTCATTGCAGTTGTGAAAGCAGCACATACATTTTACAATGGTTCCACATCTATATCTGTGAAGACTGAAGATTCAGCACCAAGAAAGCGCAAGACAGAAAGACTAAATACTGTTGTCTGTCCGGAAGAGAAGAGGAAGATCATTGGAGACACATTTATGAGAGTATGTAACACAAAACACTTGATTTTATAAGCTGATAACATGGTTAGATTCTGTGATCAGATACATGTTACATGTTACTTTTCATTTATAAGGTTGCCAATGAAGTTCTAGAAGAATTAAATTTGAAACCTGAGGATGTTTATTTGGGCCAAGGTATGTATAATTAAAATACTTGGCAAAGTCAAAGTAACAGGTTTAATTTTAACATATTTTATAAATAAAATTTTTATGGGGAAAAGTAACAAAGCTTGGAGTTTTTTGCATTTGGTGTAAATTCAAGATGAGCTTGAAATACTGAATGGGGTCATAATAGAAGTATAACTTAAACACTTAAATTGGCAAAAACATTATTATAGTGAGAAAAATGTAGGATATTCATTTGTTTTTGACATGATTTTTATATTAAAAATATCTTCAACACTTGTGGCAGTCATATTCATCACTTTCAGGAACCTTGAGGCCGGACCTGATAGAGAGTGCTTCAGAACTGGCCAGTGGGAAAGCCGATGCCATAAAAACACACCATAATGACACAGAGTTAGTGAGAGAGCTACGCAAACAAGGTCGAGTGGTCGAACCTCTGAAAGATTTCCACAAGGATGAGGTTCGCACCATTGGCAAAGACCTAGGCTTACCTCCAGATCTTGTCCACAGGCACCCCTTCCCAGGTGTGCAAGATTTCTTACACTGTTATTGTTCTGAAGAAAAAGCATTACATTTGTATTAAATGATTAACGTGCATTTTTTAGACTAAAAATATTTATTTTAATATCTTTATTTCCCTTACTCAAGTCTTTTATTTTTGTAGGTCCTGGACTTGCCATTCGTGTTTTATGTGCTGAAGAACCTTACATGTGTAAAGATTTTGCTGAAACTAGTGTTTTGCTCAAGTTCTTATTGGACTTCTCAAACTCAATTAAAACAGTAGGTGCCTACTTTTTGCTTCATACTAGAAAAAACATTCCATCATATTTTGGTAACTGCATTTTAATCTTTTTGATTTTCCTTTTTTTTTACAGCCACATACTTTAATTACCAGACTGAAAAATAGCACATCAGAAAAAGAGCAGCAAGAGCTAAAGAGAATCAGTGAAGAGGCACAGCTATTTTCTACATTATTACCAATCAAAACTGTTGGTGTACAGGTAAGTTATAGAGCATTCTTGGGTTCAAGTTTCAGTTTCTTTGTAATCATATGATTGTCAAATCCAGAATAATACCAGGCAACAATTTTTAATCGCTGACTTTTTCAATTCCCTTTTGTTACATTTTCTTTTTAATCATCCTGTTATTTTAAAAAATGTTATAGTTTGAAGTCATCTCTTTGTTTACAGGGGGACAGTAGGACCTACAGTTATGTAGTTGGGATTTCCAGCGATAGTGAACCTAACTGGGAAAACTTGATGATTCTAGCCAAACTTATTCCTAGGATTTGTCATAATATTAATAGGTAATAATATGGAATTTGTTTACTATCGTTGCTTTATCAATCGTCTAACTGAAAAAAAATCATTTATGGTTATGATAATAAAATGATGAAAAATTTAAGTAATCAATGACATCGGAAAATATATTTTCATTAGAATTTGACAGTAATGATATTTGAAGGAACACTCAATTCATGCTATTTCAGAAATTCAGCAATTATTCTTTTGTGCCGCATGTATATTGCATTTTACCTGACAGAAATTCTGAGTAAGATAAATCATACGTTTATTATTACAGGGTGGTGTATATATTCGGGGGTTCCGTGCGGTTCCCAGTAGAAGACATCACCCCCACCTACCTAACCAACGGGGTCCTGAGCACACTACGCCAGGCTGACTATCTGGCCACAGAGGTGCTACAGGCCACTAACACTACCTCCAAACTCAGTCAGATGCCAGTCATTGTTGTACCGGTCCACTTTGATCGGGACCCCATCAAAAACATTCCCTCGTGCCAGAGGTCCATAGTGATTAGAACATTTATTACCAATGACTTTATGACGGGAATTGCAGCGACACCAAATAAACATTTTCCAGCTCAGGTTAGTAGGATGATTTTCTTTCTATATATGATTGAACCTTTTTATCTTGAACGCTGTGGGCCAATGAAAAATACCTGTTAGATATTTGAAGATTCTAGATATTGAAGTAAAAATACATAAAGAAAAAGTGGTTTGGACTTCCATTTAATTTTTTCATATTTGAGATATCAGTGTTCAAGATACAAATGGTATTTTCAATTTTGTGGGGTTTTTTGGCATTCACAACCAAAAATTTTCTCCAAATTTTTTTTAGAATGTATGGGAGTCAATTTCTGATTTTTGTGGTAGAAATTTTCTATGATGCACAGAATTTGTATTTGAAATACAGAAATAAGTCTGTCAATTGGAGCAGGTATAAATCTATGTAATAACATTGTATGATCTTGTGTTTGAATGGAGCCTGATGAAATGGCTACAGCTGTTTTTCAAACAAACATTTGCATAAAATGTCTTGTTTTCTACAGGTTTTAAACCAGATGGTAGACAGAATCTCAGCAGTTCCCGGGATATCTAGAGTTCTGTACGACCTTACATCTAAACCCCCGGGGACAACAGAATGGGAATAGTGCTTATTGGACTTAGAGTAGTGTGTGATTCATGAACTCCTACAAAACCAAGAAAAGTAGTGCTTGTCGATTGTGATAATAAAGTATTGGAAATTTTACTTGATATTTTTTATTGAGGAAACTGTCGTGCATATATACCTGTAATATTTTTTTCAAAGATTTTAACAAATCAAGTCTGGATTCTACATTTTAAGTGGTTTAAGATTAGAAAATTACTTTGAAAATAACTTTTATTAGAAAATATGCATTCTTTCTCACTTTGCTCTACATAATAACTCGTTTCCCATCATGAAACCGCAACATTCATAATAATATTGGAATGAGATAATGAGCTTCCATCAGTTAGTGTCATATGCATATATTGGACACCCATTTTAACACATTTTCTTGGAAATATTAGGGTATGATGTATGCCTGTGTTCTTTGTTTTAAGTATCGATTAAATTTAGGAAAAGAAAAGTGAAATTCAAAGAATAGAAATTAATTAAAAAAAAAAACAACTTAAATTTACTTCAACTTGTGTCCACAAACAGGAACAAAAATTAAAAAAAAATCAATTCAAAGTTGCACCAGGTGACTGTCAACTAGGTGCAATGTTAATATCGGTTACCCATTTGTAATGACCGATGTGCGTGTTTGAGTCTCTGTCTGCTTTATTCAGTTACACATCCGGACGCTGGATTCCGTCACTTGGGTTTCGGCGTTTGAAAAAGTCGGTTGAAGGTGTCACTTTATTTTTTAAACCCATTTTGTTAAATGTTTTGAAGTGGGCATTAATTTCTGGCTACTTAATTTTTTTACGATCATAATTTGCTAATTTTGTCAAGTGCTGACAAAAATGCGGTCCCCCGGTATTTTACTGGGGTTGTTGTTGATTTTTGGCTCGTCGACAGGAATCTTTGGAGATGATGACTACTATGATGAGTATTATTATGATGATGACGAACCACGAGAGATTTCAAAGGAGCAAATCAAAGGTGAAAGAAAATTTTCAAAAATTCAAAGTAAATTATATATATTTTTTTATTTATAAACTCATCTTTCTTGTTCAGGGGTATAATTTTTGCTTCATTTTCACATTTTCCAGCGATACAGTCCATCATGGATGCAGTGCTTAATCAAAATATCGAAAGAGCTGATAACAGAACGTCTAAAGAGCTTCAAACTCTATCAAGTCGGTGTGTCAAATATGTAGATTCGTTCTCCAAATCTTGCGAAGCAATTAAATGTGAAACGTAAGTAAAGTACAACAATTAATTATTAACAAAATTTTGAGTAAAAAATGTTTATTTTTATAATACACAAAATATAAAAGCTAGTAATATGTTTTGAAAATAAAAAGCTTGAAATTTCACAATTGCAATACTCATTTCAGTGGGCACCTGTTTGATAAGCTAAAAGGAGGAATAACGAAACTGACGAAAAAAGTGATTGGAAAGGCCAAAGATTTCTTGAAGAAGGGACTGAAGGCGATCTTTAGGTTTAGAGTAAGGCGAGTGTTCAAAGGAATAAGAAAAGGCATCCGAAAAATTACAAGAAAAATTCGCAGAATTGTGCGGCTTCCCCGGGTCAGGGTACGGGTACGCCGGGCACTCAGAAGAATAGGGAGGAGTGTGCGGAAAATCAGTGGGAAGGTCCGCAGATTAGTGCGCCGCGTGAGGCTGAGAGTTAGAGTCAGGCGAATCGTGCGACTTCCACGGATCAGACGTATTGTTAGGGTCAGGGTCAGACTTGGGAGATGGCGGCGTACGTAGCTATTGAAATAATTTTGAATTTTAGTAATTTAAAATGATGCTTGATTTCTGATATAGATATCAGGAGAAAAAAACGCTTCAGAAAGAGTAGATACACAGTAACAATAATTTTAATTTCATCGTGATAAATTTGATACTACATGTATTAATTTTCTTGTGTCGTATCATACCAATAATGATAATTCTTTTCAACAAAAATCATTATCCTTCATTACATATTTAATCGTCCTTCAAACTTACTGTTGGATAATCTAATGTGATAATAAACACATTCAAATCATTATTTTACAGGATGGGGAAAGAAGAAGCGGTCGACATGCAGTGAATGTTCACGAATGTCCGATTTGAGCGAGGAACTACTCGTGGAAAGAAGTACTTTGATTTTATGCGATAATTTCACTAGTATAAAAATGCATTGTATTCATTGATATGATCTGTGAAATCTGTTCAGAATGATTGAAATAAGTAAAACGGAAGAAATTTTTACATTAAAAAGTGACAGATTCCAAATTTACTTTACATGAAAGTACACCGAACAAGACGGAACGGTCACCTCATATAGAACTGCTGAAAATTTTAATCTAATGTTGAATTATGCCAAACATAAAGTCTTCATTTAATATTTTAATTTATTACTGTGAGACAAACTGAAATAATTTCCAAGTTTTTATATTTATAGTGTGTCCATATTTGAAGAAAGCAGAGCAGAGAGCGTCGGGTACCATGGCTTTCCTGTCCAAACTGATGTCAGAAATGGAAGAGGGATACCCCGCAATACAAAAAGTAATTACATATTTTCTATAAACACGCCCAATTTGAAAGTCAATATTGCATTCTAAAAGCTATCCAAGTTAATAAATATAACAATTTGATAGTCAATGAAAATATTTAATTGCATTCTAAAAATATATAAATAAGGAAATAAATCAATATAAACGTGCACGTGCCTCAAGTTTTATTTTGTTACACTTGACTGACACGTGACCGATTTAAAAAAAAATGGGCATCTTATTTTAGAAACTTATTTATATTGGAACATTTCTCTTGCAGATCTTGCATTATGAAAACACGTCAGACGAAGCAAAAGTAACCATGACCGTAAAGGAAGGAACAACCAGCTATGTGATACGGAATTTCAGCAGGATGAACAACAGGCGAGCAGGGGGAATCCTAGCCCGGTACATTTTCAGGAGAGCAACGACTGGTGCTTAAAAAGCAATGTGAGAAATAGAAATCAATGAAAATAAAGATGAAATTCATTATCATTCCACGTGTTTGTTTTTTTATGTGGATGATAATACGCAAGAATGTCTTTGGATTTTAAACAAATTGATTATTAGGTACAAAAATTCAGTTGTTGAGGATTAAAAAAAATAATAAAATTGACATGATTTTGAAGAATTTCTTCCTTGGAAAGAGGATTATGTGTATAAGTTTCAGTGGCGTAGCATCGTTTTTGAAAGTGGGGGGGGGGGGGGCAGGCAGAGAAAATTTTTTTTTAACTTACCTGAAAAAGTTGACAAGCAAAAAAAAAGGTAAAAAAAGTTGCCCGAAGTCGAAAATCCTATTTCGTGGGGGGGAGGGGGGGGGGGGGGTAGGTAAACTTTTTTTCAGTGTCAACTACTTTTAGTACCAATTCTTATACTACATTTTCGGTACATTTCTAAAAGTAGGGGGGGGGGGCAAACAGGCTTTGAATTAACATTTCCTATAGTGTAAGTAAGGTTGGGAAAAAAAGTGGGGGGGGGGGGGGGCCAGGCCCCCCCTGGCCCCCCCGGATACTACGCCCCTGAGTTTGATACTCAATTGCATAATTTAACTCCAGTCCACCTATTAAAAATACAATTAAAATAATGGACTTTACAACTACTTTTTTGTTCTCTGCTTACATGTACCAATGCGTTTACTTTCTTCATGTCCTAATTTATAGGGATTAAATACCCTCTGCTAGATGTTGACAATAAATGCAACAGATGACCATATCAACTGTCTTTGAATGTTATTTGCAAATCTACTAAAAATGATTCCTTTTGAGATTTTTCCTTCCAATTGATATGATAAAGATATCCCCAGATAGTGAAGACTTTATTCCCATTTTATGACAGATTATACAAACAAAAAATAAACGACGGATTGATTTATAATTCTGAACCTAATGTGGTTGTAAATGAAGTAAATAAGGAGTGCACTTATGTAACCCGGTAAAATGTGAAAAAATAAACAATCAAATTAAGAAAAAAATTTCATCTCAGATCATTAATTGATATCTAAACCATACGATTCAACAAATTTTACCGCTGAAATTCACTAATATACAAAGAACAAAAACATACAATGTGGCAGGGGTCAGCCGACATTTGTAATTTTCTATAGTAAATCGAGAACGGTCATTCATTTCAAAGCTTGTGTTTACTATGAGCCTTACGTTGTTCAAATGTGCGAATGACTAAAGACGCACAACACATTTATAAAACTTGTGTGAAAGTGTGGCAGAGTGGTTTTAATTAATAATTAATTAATAAAGAATATTGTCACAGGCGGGCCGATAGGTCGCCACACAAAAGGAATACTAGAACAGTTCTTTAAATATATCACATTTATTCAAGGCTTAATAAAAGTTCTGGGTTGGAATGTTGTTTGGGTATAATGGCTCCCTGGACCAATTTGGGATCTACAAAATCATTGTAAATACACATATTATAATATATGTACAACAAAATATACTAATTTGATTCGTGATCATGCATATCATAACATATACTATAATTTTTGTAAAACTTGTGTTTTTCACTATAGAAATCAACGGGAAACGGAAAATATTTTAAAAACATCCCCCCCCCCTCGTAAAACAAGAATTCCTTTTTTACAGTTAATATGGAAGTAGTTGTCATTTTACATGCCCAGGCTGTTTGTGTTTCACGGGGGGGGGGGGGCATATTTTTATAGAAAAAAAGAAGAGAAAAATGCTGATTTTTCGAAACTATTTTCAACTAAATAATTGTATTTTATTAATTTATTTATGTTTTATTTGTTTGCGTAAAACATAAGAAAAGATATGAGATACATTTTGTCATTTTTAAGACTATTTCAAAATATGGTGATTCTTGAAAGTTCGATTTTACTAGAAAATATCTTCTACCCCCCCCCCCCCCCCTTTTTTTTCAAGAGCTGGAATTAATGATAATTTACTATCTAGCGCTGGAATTAAAATGATTAATTAATTACAATAGAACTGTTCTTTGTATTAAACAAAGATTTTATAGCCAAATTGCCATTAATATTGTATTTAATGGGTGCAAAATGTAAGCGGGAATCAGGAGTTAGAGTTCGTAGTCCTTTCTTAGTTTGATCAATATGGCTACAGGCAACTACACAGCTTCATTCAATTTTTAAAGACAGATTTGGTGCAAGTTACATTTGGCAAACGCGCCCGACTATGATCCAGATTGTTCAAGTGTCGATTTGGATATCTACATAAACGAAACTAAAAGAAGGTTCGGTACAACTTTTCCGGATTTAGGGTATCAGTGGACATTTAAAAATATTCAATTGTTTCAAATCTGTGCTGATTTAGGTGATGCTTAACGTGCTTTTTAATTAGAAATATCCATGAATATCTAACTATTACCAAAAAGAGAACGATTTGGTAATATATTCTAAAGTAAAATGTCACATAAAAAGTGCATATTAAGTATTGCTTAAGTGCACTAGCTTGTCCTTTCAAATAAAATTTCGAAATTGTATTAAAATGATGAATAATATTTATAAAATTTTATATTAGGAGAAGACGATCTAAGTTGTACGTAAACTTGTGTCTTATCCTTTTGGCTTTGTCAATAAAATATGTTAAATTCATGCAGTTGAAGTTCTACCTTTGTGCGACCATTTTTAAATGATCTATGCCATTTTTAGTCACTTTAAGTTACATTATTGTGAAATTTTGATTCAATTCGGTTCAACTCATTCATTTTACTTATATAAACATGACATAAGCTGTTATATATATGTACATAATTTTTGTAAATATAAAAGTTTACTTGTATCATCTGTCCTTGAGATCCCTTTGATATAACTGATGTAAACAAAGATCCAGTTTTTGAAGGAAAAATTGTATAGCATCGGTTTTTAAACGACTTGGGCAGACTTTCATAAGGAAATGAATCGAACTGAAGTAGCCAGAATATTGTTCCGAGATTTCCGATATTTGCACTTTCTGTTTTGATAACGTTGGTGTCTTGTTAACTTTGTGAATTATTTTGTATGTATGAAACAATCTTGCCTATTCTACTTGTATTCCTAGGGTGACTTCTATGGCCCTGCAAAACTGATCAATATTCAATAGATGCTTAAATCCTTTTAAAATATAAACTATCGATCTTTTATCCTCTTTTAATTGACTTTTTATTATTAGATTGTGTTTACAATGTATTATATTTTTTTTTTACTTTGATGGATATCAAAGAAGTCCCATTATTGTTGTGATCGATAAAATCAGCATTTAAGGGAATTTAGGGTCCCATATAGGCCACAATGCTCAATAAAATATGTTCAAATCAAAGCTGAGCCTATTGCTTATGGCAAGTCGAACGTTGCAGTATTCGTCTTTTCCATTTGTATTGAAAAACGAAAAATTATACAAAATGGAAAATTATAGAATACAAATAAAAATTATACAATACATATGGAAAAATTTACGATTCAAGTGGAAAAGATCGAATATTGCAATGTTTGACTTGCCATAATTGCTTATACAATTGTACTTGTTTTCCATCAGTACATTCTTATGTAAGACTTTGATCGTCGATCCAAAGTAGTCCCATGATATCTTCGTTGGCTGTGTTTAAAAATAAATTACATAACCTGAGAATTCTTTCATATAAATGAAATATGTGGAGATAACTATCAGTATTCTAGCTCAGAAGTCCCTTAAACGTTAGAAAACAGGAGCGGAGCAAACACGGACCTCCAAAACATCAGAGGTGGGATCAGGTGCCCTGAATGATTGAATCCATAAATACATATAAATATGGGGCATGGTCATAAATGCTGTTCCTAGTAAAAATTAAGATAAATTAAGATTTTAAAAGCTTTGTTCTATATATATCCCTATATGTATCACTGTAGCCCATTTTGACCACACCCTACCTACCCGTGGGAGTCATGATTTGAACACATTTGAATTTATACAACCTGAAAATACTTCCATATAAATATGACTCTTGATGTCTGCTGTTCCATTGAAAAAGGGTTTCCTCTGTATTGCTTTGTAAAACATGCTACAATTGTTACCCACCCCCTACCTCCAAGGGTTTTGATTTGAATATACTTAAATATACACAACTTTGCACGCTTATGACTGATCATGCTTACCTGATCTTGAGAAAAAAAATTTCACAAATATTCCAAGGGAATATTTCAATTGTCTTTTGTAGCTTCATCCTGTCCTTTGGATAAAGATATCTACACAACCTGAAAATCATTCCAAAGAAATATGACTAACTTTGATTTCATATTTAAAAAATATCTCCTATTCATGTCTTTGTAAAACTTGTGATCGTTCATTATAGCCCAACCCTATTCTTGATTTGAAAGAAAAACACTATCCAACAAGATGTGTTTGTGAAACACTATGCGCCCGGCGGCAACAAATTAAAAAAAACATTTTTAGGATAAAGGTCACAAGGAAGGTCACAAGGTCATTGATCTTGGTGTCATTTGAAAGATCTTGATTAGTGAAGTATGCATACCAAGTATGAGGACTCTATCTTTCATGGTTCAAAAGTTATGGTGAAGGTTCAAAAAAATTTATTTTTAGCATATAAGACCCAGTCAAGGTCACAAGGTCCTTGACCTTGAAGTCATGTGAAAGGGCTTCATTAGTGGAGTATGCATGCCAAATATTAAGTCTCTATTTTCTTCGTTCAAAAGTTATGGCGAAGGATAAAGTTTGCCGTCAAAAAAGCTATATTTAGCGTATAGGCCACAATCAAGGTCACAAGGTCACTGACCATGGTGTCTTTTAAAAAGGATTAATAAGTGTTGTAGGTATACCAAATATAAAATCTCTATCTTTTATGGTTCAAAAGTTATGGCAAAGGTTAAAGTTTGCAAAAAAATCTCTATTTTTAGTATACAGGTCACAGTCAAGGTCACAAGGTCAGTGACCTTAGTGTCATTTGAAAGAACTTTATTAGTGGAGTAGGCATACCAAATATGAAGTCTTTATCAT